TTGTTTTTGTTATTGTCTCTTTTGCTGTGCAGAAGCTCTTTAATTTGATGTAGTCCCAGCTGTTTATCTTTGCCTTCACTATCACTGCTTTGGGTGATGTGTCTGTAAAGATGTCTTTGACGTGCATATCACGTAGTGTTTCGCCTATATTTCCTTCTACAAACATTTTTTTTTTTTTTTAAGATTTACTTATTTATACAAGAGTTGGGATACAGACCAGAGGAGTTGGACGGTGAGAGAGTTCACCAGAGTCACAGCAGGGAGCAGAACAGGCAGATGGTGCAGCGGGCGCAACAGGAGAGGTCTGCCACGCCATGTGGTACTCTCCCTGGCCGGCTGGGAATCGAACCCGCACTGCAGAGACTGTGGACAGCTTCACAGTGCTGCACTCAACCCGCTGCGTCACCGGGGAGGCCCTATTCCCAAACATATTTTATGAGGTCAACATTACCCTGACGAAACTGGACATAGACATCACACAAAAAGAAAACCACAGACCAATTTCCCTGATGAACATAGATGCAAAAAATCCTCAACAAAATCTTAGCAAACCAAATTCAACAATGCATTAAAAGGATAATATGCCATGACAAAGTGGAATTTATTTCACAGACACAACAATGGTTCAACATCCAAAATTCAATCAACATAATTTACCACATCAACAAAAGAAAAGATAAAAATATATGATCATGTCAATAAAAGCTTGGAAAGCATTTGATAAAATTCAACATCCATTTATGATAGACCCACAAAAAATGGGAATAGATGGAACCATATCTTAACATAATAAAAAAGGCCATATATGACAAACCCACAGCAAACATCACTCTGAATGGTGAAAATAATGAAAGCTTTTTCACTAAGATCTTGCGCCCACTTTCACCACTGCTATTCAACATAGTATTCAAAGACCTAGCAAGAGAAATTAGGCAAGACAAAGATATAAAAGCAATTCAAATTGGAAAGAAGTAAAACTATCATTACTGGCAGAAGACATACTATAGACGCCACTAAAAAACTAATCAAAACAATACATCAATTCAGCAAACTGACAGGTTATAAAATTTGTACAAAAATAAGTTGCATTCCTATTTGCAAATAAGCTAGAACAGGAAATTTTAAAAAATTTCATTTACAAGCACATCATAAAATTAAATACCTAGGAATAAATATAAAAAGGAGGTAATAGACCAAAAGGATAAAAATATAAGACACTGCTAAAAGAAATAGAAGACACCAAGACGTGGAAAGATATTCTTGTCATTGACTGGCAGAATAACAAAAATGTTGTTAAAATAGCCATCTTACCTAAAGCAGTAAACTGATTCAATGCAATCCCAAAGTTTCAATGGCATTCTCCAAATAAATAGATTACTAAAATTTATATGAAACCAGAAAAAACACTGAATGGGCAATACAATCCTGACAAAAAAGAGGAGTGGTGCTATCCCACTACCAGACTTCAAACTATACTACAAAGCTACAGTAATCAAAACAGAATGGTACTGGACCAAAGAGAAAACAGACCCATGGAATCAAATTTAGAGCTCAAAAAAAAAAACCCCATCTTTATATGTACTGTTCAATCTACAACAAGGAGCCAAGAGTGTACAATGGAAAAAGGAAGGTCTCTGATAAATGGTGTTGGGAAAACTAGATGGCCACATGCAAAAGAATGAAACTATCATTATCTCACACTATACAAAAAAACTAACTCAAAATGAACAGAAGTTTTGGATATGACCTGAAACCATATAATACATATAAGAAAATGTAAGCAAAACACTCCAGGATGTAGGCTTCAGTGATATCTTTGTGATTTTGTTTCCAATAGCAAGAAAAACAAGGGAATATAAACAACTGGGACTACACCAAACTAAAAAGCATCCACACAGCAAAAGAAAATATCACTAAACTAGAAGACACCCCGTGGAACAGGAGAAAATATTTGCATACCATACATCTGACATGGGGCTGATATCAAAGAGCAACAAAAAAGTCATACAATTCAACAAAAAGAAAACAAATAACCCCATCAAAAACTGGTCTGAAGAACTAAATAGGAACTTTGCAAAAAAGACATACAGGGCCTCCCTGGTGGCACAAGGGGTTAAGTACAGCACTATGGAGCAATCCACAGCCTCTGCAGCACGAGTTCAATCCCTGGCCAGGGAGCAACCCATATGATGCAGCAGACCTCTCCTGTCTGGCCTGCTGCTCCCCTCAGCAGTGTATTTCAGTCAGTCTGCCTGTTCTGTTTCCCGCTCTGTTTCTGGTGAATCCTCTCACCCCCCCCCCATATCTGGCCTGCACCCCAGCTCTTGTATGCATGGATAAATAAATATTTTTAAAAAAAAGACATAAAGATGGTCAACAGGCATATGAAAAAAAATGTTCACCATCACTTAATCATTGAAAAGGAAATCAAAAACCACAATGAGATACCACCTCATACCTGTGAGAATTACCCATATCAAAAAGACCTGAAACAACAAGTGTTGGCGAGGATGTAGAAAAAAGAAAATCAGGTACAATATGGGGTTTGTAAACTGGCCCATCCCCTATAGAAAACAGTATGGCGATTTCTCAAAATATTAAAAATGGATCTACCATAAAATTCAACAATTCCACTCCTAGGTAACTACCCAAAGAATTCAAAAACACTCATCAAAGGGATATATGCACCTCGATGTTCACTGAAGCATTATTTGCAATAGCCAAGCTATGAAAACAACCTAAATGTCCAAAAACCGATTACTAGATTAGGAAGATGTAGTGTATATATATACAAGAGATACTGTTGCTATTTGTGACAACATGGACAGAACTCAAGGGGATTATGCTAAATAAAACAAGTCAGAAAGAAAAAAAAAGTATAGAAGGGTGACACTTACATGTGGGATACAGAGAAAACAAAGGACCAGATAAAGCCAAATCATTAACAAAGCCGAGAAAGTGACTACAGAACTGAAGCTACCAGAGGAGAGATCTTTACAGAGCAAAGTAGGGAGGGAGCACTGTACTGGAGGATAATGATATCATGATAGTAGGAGTGGTGTGGTAACAGTCACCTGAAGGGGACAATCCTATACAATGTTATAAATCAATATTATCTCAATAAAAACTAAATTAAAAAAATACCTCAGCATAATAAACAACTATGTGTGATGACAGATATTAATGAAAGTTACTGTGGTGATCATCTTACTGTACACACATCAGATTATGTTGTACACCTGAGACTAATATGTTATCTGTCAATTATATCTCAACTAAAAAAAGGAATAAAATTGTCCCATAAGAGAGTAATATCCTTCTGTACTCTCCTGCTCACTTTGCTTATGACCCTTTGTGGATAAGAGGGATCACAAGGTTTGAGTTGTCTATCCCGAACTAATGAAGGATAGGTGACAGAGAAAAACAAGTAGAATTAAAAGGGCAGTGAATTGAGACCCAAGGGGTTAGCTGTATTCCTGGCTCAAATACTAAGTGACTGGAAAATCTTATACCATCACTTAACTTGACTGGGCCTTTGTGTACTTTATCACGTATGAGAATGGCATTAAACTAGATTAAAAATAAAGTCCCATCTTGCTTGGGAATTCATTGTTTTAATGACTACAGCAATTCTTTTATACTCATTAGTACCATGATGAACTGAGAACAGCTGGGGGAGAACTCACACTAAAGAATTCATTATATAGTCTATGTATGACAGTTGTATATAGAGACTTATCTATTTCTCTAATTTCATTATGGCAAAGTTCTATTTTGTGAAATGCCTTATATTTGAGAACACTGCCAATTTTCTTTTTCAAAAAAACATTAAGGCTGAGAATATACACAAAAGAATATTGCTTTAAGACCCTGGAATAGACAAAGATTTCTTAAGCAGAACACAAAAAGCAATAACCATAAAAGAACAAACTGATGAATTGGATTTCATCAAAATTTAAAACTTCTATTCATCAAAAAACACCATTAATAGGCAAGCCATACAATGGGAGAAAATAGTCACAAAATATATATCCATATACCTGACAAAGGACTTGTACCCATTATATGTAAAGAATTGCTACAATTTAGAAATAAAGACAAACCAACCCAATTAAAACATAAGCAAAAGACTTTAACACACCACACAGAAAGATATAGCCACTAAGTCTGTAAAAAGATGCTCATAATCTTCAATTATCAAGGAAATGTAAATAGAACCATAATGAGATATTACTACATATACAAAAGAATGGTTAAAATTCTAAATCTAACAGTAACGAATGCTGGTAGACACTTGGAAAGATTTGATGTTTCTTATAGATAAGCATACATTTATTCATACTATTCAGCAATTCCACTTTTAGGAATTTAGCCAAGAGATAAAACATATTTACCCAAGAGAAAAAACAGGTTCAAAAAATATCTCTATAAGAATGTTTAAAGCAGTTTCACTCATAACAGCCCAAAGTTCAAAACCAAATTATATAATGTCTTATAATTATCACTGGTAATGGAAAAGAACAAACTAGTGATATTTGCAATAACATAAATCTAAAAACTATATGCTAAACAAAAGACACAAAAAGTCTAACACATACATTATGATTCCATCTGTATGAAATACTAGAACAAGCAAAATTAATCTATGGTGAAAGAATTCAAAAAGGTAGTTGTCCAGGAGTGGGAGGAGGAAAAATATGAGTACTGGCTAAGTAGGGTGTTAGAGAACTTTCCTAGAGAACAAAAATGTTTTATATATTCATAAGGATAATGGTTACATGCTTGTGGTTATTTGTCAAAATGCACTGAATTGTATGCTTAAGATTTATGTGGTTTCCCTTTTTTAATTAACAAAGACTTACATTCAGCAGCAGCAATCTGGCTACTTTGTTTTTTCATTGTGACTATAATAATGCACCTAGTCAAATGCTGTCAAATGCCATACTATTCTAGTTTATGGAGTGAAAATGCTCTCCTAAGATTTCTTTCTGACTTCTTACCTTATTAACTTCTGGTGTGAGGATTTCTATTTTTCTTAACCGTTGAAAAGCATCATAATCAGTTTCTCCAAATAGTCTGACTGGTTCTCCTCTTTCTCTCAATCTTCTGATAACCTATTTTTTAAAAAAGTCATCAAAATATAATAATTCCAATTTTAAGTAGTCAGAAACTTTTTTTTAAATATGCATGGAGAAAAATTTGTGTGTTATTCTTTAATTTTCCATGGACAGATATACCAAGTCATCACAATTTAAATATTCTAAAGGCTTTAAGTCCTTTAGCTGATTATTTCAGGAAAGGCCCAGCCCATGCAGCAGGATCCATAAAAAAGGATAAAGAAGGGAGGGAGCAATAATATTCATACAGAGAAGGAAAATGAAGACTGGAGTCAGTAATAACTCATTGGCCATAATCAAGAATCAGCAGTGCAACACTACAATAAAATCAAAATTTGTCCCTCAAAAGAGTGAGTTATGATTAGGGTTGGGCATATACAGAGCTTTCGAGGGGCTAATATTACCCTATTTTCTTGACTTGCTTGATGGTTATATGGATATTTGCTTTGCAATAATTATGTAGCAAATACATGTTTTATAATTCTGTGAAAAAGTTGTATTTCATCAAAAAGAGAAATGTAAATTGTAGTTAAAGGTCAATTCAAATTGAAAAACTACCAATAAGTTTATGAGGGACTATAAATAGAACAAACGTAGAAACCACTGGTAGAGCTCCCACTAGATTAACTGAAGCTTGATATTCAAACAGAAAATTAAAAGATTAGTGCTATCTCCAAAATATCCTTGTCAGCTCAATGTCTGATAAATAACAGGAATCACATTAACTGAAGAAACAGCCAATCCCATTTTGGGACAGATATTTTGCTTCTCAAAGTAAAATTTCCACCTCCCTCAAACTTCCTATTCTATTTTATGAAACCACAGAAAATATGACTTCTTTTTCAAAATTAGAGCTGTTGTCAATGAACTTTTTACCTGTTTCTAATACTCTTCTCTCAGGGCTTAGATTCAATCCTTCAATCTGATTTTCACATGACAGCTTCTAAAGTCATTCATCCTTTCCTGTGAAAGTTTCCTTCTGGTCAAAGTCTATTTTTGTTTTATACCCATTTATTTAAGTTTGAATTCTTTATATCACATGAATAACATAAAATTTTGTTTGTTTTTTTAAAGGAAAAGTTTATTAAGGAGAAAAGAGACAGAAACAATGTGGGAATCCCAGGCTATGGAACCAGGTTAGGGAGGGACAAGAAAGCCCTTTTTTCTTTTTTTTTTAAGGAAAATAATAGTTGATATAGACAAACAACTCAGGTAAAATATATAAACTATTTAACAAGAGTCCTCTGGTAAGACTGCATCTAAAGTCTTAGAAAAGTACAAAGTATTTAATATAGAGTTCAGAAATAATGCTTCTTAAAAAAGTGTCCAAAAGTAACAATCATAATATTATTAGGCAAGGCAATGACATCTGTATAAGGAAAATCATCTTAGTATGACTTACAGGGGGGAAAAAGCAAGTAGATGGCCATTTAATAATTGGTTTTCAAAATATTATGGAAAAGTAGGCATAACAAACTATATATATGTGTCTTTTGATTTAGAAAAATACATTGGTAAGCAAAAATTGTAAGTGTATTATAAAATAGCTTATATAATGTAAGTATAATTATTTAGAATATATGCATTTCACTATACTTATTTACAACAATGTTTAATTGTTAAAGTTTAAGAGGATTTTTTTCAAAGTGTAAGCTGATAGTATCAGGGAAAGAAGAGATTAATTTAGACACTCAAAGAAAATGGGCTGGTTGCATAGTATTTTTAGCTCATTAGGTCATCCTATATGGGAAATAATGACATATGACTTATTGGAAAGAAGTGAAGATAAATGCAAATGCTGTAGAGATACTTCTCTTCATGAAACACTCACTCACATAAACTTACCTCTTGCCTAGAAAGAGTCATGGGTAATTTTTCCTCTGCAAGTTCAAGTTCTAACACTGGATTTGATGAAGTTAATGGTTTTTGGTCCTCCTCTTTTGGCTGTATCTATAATAGCCAAAAGAAGTAAAATTCAGGTTTAAAATAAAATATTGTTAATATTTACTCTTCTATGACAGCTATTCGTGGAATTTAAATATTTTAATATTTTAATATTGAAAGTTTTCTAAATGTGTCTCTGAGGAAAGAGCTGATAATAAATGTACATGCTTTTAAGAGTTTATGAAACATATCCATTTCAGGGACACCACCACAGGTAGAAAGCATGCACACAGGAGAGAGCATTCTTGCTATAGAAGAGTGACGTAAGTATAATGATTTCTAAGATCAAAAACTTAAAAGGGTTGAAATTTTGGCTCGTTTTCTCCCTCGACTTTAAAGAATGTTACTTTTTTCTTGAAAAACAATCCACTTTCTTTTCTTCTTTGAGAAAACCATTTTACAGAGTTATTTGATCCTTGCTCTGGGTTCAAAATGAAGACTAAAGACAAAAATTGCTTTCCAACAGAAACCTGTGAAGTCTCAAGTTCCAGCTTTTTCATATCCTACTTTTGAAAGTAGGATGCACAGAAATCACTGTTGGACATGAAGAAAAATTCCCAATATGCTACAGAACTTGCCCTTCACACTGAGTTCTGAACCTTGTAGAAAAATAATGAAATACAGCACCTCTCTATTCATACCACAAAAAGAAAAAGCAAACATTCTTGTTCATAAAAACCTGCAGAAAAAAAAAACTCTTCATGTATTTTCTTAAGTCTGCTGCCCAAGTCACAGTTTAGGAAAACTGAAGCAATTTAAAATCCCATTGTGTGGTCTGTAAAAAGATAGTGTAACATGGTTTCCCATCTGACCATAGACAAATCTAAAATGCTAAAAGCAGTAAGACCGAAAAATAAATAAATAAAAGGATATCAGGATTAAGGAAGAAATTCACATTCACTTTAAAGATTATGGCTAAAATGTAATCTGATTCCATAGTTTATGGTTCAAGGATATGTTCATCAACCTAAATGGAGCTAACAGAAAACTGAGGTAAAAAAACTAAACTTTCAGATTTTCACAAATCAAATCAGCATTGAGCCTTTAAAAAAAAAAAAAAAGGTTAACTAATTTCTATGAAGAATAAAGGTAATATATACTCTATTTTGATCACTACCCAGAAAATTTTTGAGGAGAAAAATCTGTGCTTTCATTTTAAGCATAAATACAGGTATATCTCCAAATTCTCAGGATAAAAATATTTCTAGGGCCTCCCTGGTGGCGCAGCGGTTAAGTGCTGGGTTGCGAAGCTGCCCGCTGCCTCTGCAGTGCCGGTTCAATCCCCGGCTGCTCCAAGGCCACCAGAGGAGGGTCCCACATGGCGCGCAGACCTCTCCTGCCGCCCGCTGCTCCCCTCAGCAGTGTACTTCGGTCCTTCTACCTGCTCTGCTCCCTGCTCTGGCTCTGGTGAATTCTCTCACCCTCCCGCACTTCTGACTGTACCCAGTGCTTGTATAAATCAATCAATCAATCTTGTATAAATAATCTTTTTTTAAAAAAAATATTTCTACTATAGAATGGCAGTTAACAGCTGTAGGGAAAAGAGCTCTAATACATTCTGTCAACTGAACTCAGTATTACCAGCAATATCTTTACAGCAATTACTTTGCCTCAGTGCTTTCCTCTATAAACAAGAAAGTACTACCGTATCACTAAGGTTATCTACACAAAGCAAAATTGTCACTGTTTTAAATTATTTTCCTACCTTTATTTTATTTTCTTAGCATATCAAAAAGTTGAAAGGGTTCAAATTTAGGGAATCTAGGAAAGGAACAAGTCAGCAGACTAAACTCATGTACGTGATTCTCATTCCAAATCAAGTTTTAGACAGACAATATTGGGCAAGGAAAAGATGAGAATTATTTCTGAATACCTATTTCAATAATATTTACATAAAAGTTATTTTTCTTTCCCAAACTAACCTTTCTATTGAAAATATCAAAACATAAATGTTCATATTTTAGAAAGTTACTAGAAACAAACCTACATTTTTAACACTTTCTCCCAACACTACAAAATAAAACCAAATGCATATACATACCATTTGCATTCCTCATGCTTTCTTCTAGAAATGCTATGCCAGATAAATTAATTTCCAGAACTTTTCCCATTCCATGCACAAGTATTATATTGACATTTCACAAGCAAAAAGTTCATTTCAAATTTATGATTTGACAAAAATATTGCAATAGAATCTCTGAACTTTGGTTTGAAAAGTATTAAATTAGGTATCATTTTCTTTTAAAAGGAAGTTTAACACGACTTCACTTCATAACCTTTAACCCCTCCCAATAAAAACCCCAATACACTATTCAACTAAATAATCTCAAAGATAATTTCAGTCATGCTTTTAAAACACACAAACTCTTCCAGACAACTCATTTGTTGCTAAAAAAAATTTCAAGTTTACATTTTATATCCGATAAGACTAAGCAGTGTTTGAAATTGTGATACCTTATTAAACAAAAGCATATAAATGTTATATGGCACTAATTCCAGGCAGAAGTACTTAGGGCCAAACAGAATTGTTAACAATGTAAACATAAAATCAATGGCTTAAAATATTCGGGAGAAAGCAGGGAAATACCACTGCTAAAAATCACTATTGTTTAAGGAATGTTTTGAACCCTTTAAAAATGGACTTTTATTGGGAGAGGTGGAGAGAAGAGTGGTGGTGGTGATGAAAATGAGACAGTATTGTATCAGGATTTAATTAAAAAAAAAATTCAAGCTTTGATTTCAAGCCACTTCATGCTGTCCACAAAAAGCCAAACCATTCCAAGCCAAAAGTCATGCATGTATTTTCCTGAATTCAAGATTAAAAAAAGAAAAAACAAAACAAAAAACTCATACCTCTCCAGATGGCTTCTCATTTATAGGCTAATATATAACATTGATAAATTGAACAGAGATCAATAATTTTGTCACTTTAACAACAGATGTATAAATTTCAACTCAGAAATATACAATTTAACAGAAAAGCAGGCTTTCATACCTTGTAGCCACATCGTTCAAAATAAGCTTCCTCTTCTTTTTTTGCAAGTTCACTACGTTTGAAATATTTTTTATTTTCCTATTGAAGAAAGAAACAAGTTAATAACATGTCCTTGGTAAAATATCTTGACCTGTGGTCAAGAAGTGCCGTCAGAAACCTGAACACTCCAGTTTTTCAAGAATTTGGTACCATTTTTTTTGGTTTTGCAGAAATTACACTGATTTCCTGAACACATCACCCTTCCTCCATCCCTGATGTGCGTACTGATTTGTGACAAAGACTGACATATTTTTCTTGAAGTATTTTATCATGCATATCTAACAACAAAGAGAAGAAATCAACAATATTTTCCAAATGTTCCACTGATTTGATTTACTTTCCCAATGTTTGAGTTCAAAGATAATTTCTACAAATGGTTCACTATGAACCCCATAAAATGGAATGTTTTAATTACTTTCTCCTAACAGGAAAAAAATCAACACAATTATGGTATCTATAGCTGACATCTTAAACCCTTTTACCAGGCAGGATCCAAGGGTATTCCAAATTTCTTTTTGACATCTGGAATCAATTCACTGTATTTGTATTAAATCAACTCCTAAAATAATCTAGACAATCTAGGATGGTTTTATAGAGTCGTTATTAAAAAGGAGGCTTAGAGATATTTGTTTTAACATGATTTGGTAATGAGACAAGTTTGAAATCTACCGCAGTGGGAAAAATGTTAGTTCATTCCATACTATACATACAAGTATCCTCAATGTTAAATCTACAGTTCTTAATTCGGAGGCTGTTACTATGAGCAGCTTATTCCATCGATGACTTGGTTCAAATAAAGACACTGCCCTACTTCTTTAGTAGTAATTACAATAGCATCTCAGTAATACCTCTACACATGTATTTAGCACCCTCTAGCACCAAAGCTCATTCACTCAGGCAATGATCAGCAATTAATGTTAAGACCATTATGAGAAAGGATGATGGTGAACAATGAAAAAATAAGACTATGAAAACACTTGGAACTACTGATTGGCGTCAGGAAAACACAATGCATTTCCTATGGCATACACAGAGGAAGTACACAGCACCACCTAGAAAGTATTCTACTTAAAAAACTAAATCTAGGGCCTCCTGGTGGCGCAGCAGTTGAGCGCTGGGTTGTGAAGCTGCCCGCAGCCTCTCCAGTGCCAGTTCGATCCCTGGCTGTTCCCCGGCCACTGGAGGAGGGTCCCACATGGCGCGCAGACCTCTCCTGCCACCCACTGCTCCCCTCAGCAGTGTACTTCGGTCCTTCTGCTTGCTCTGCTCCCTGCTCTGGCTCTGGTGAATTCTCTCCCCTCCCACGCTTCTGACTGTACCCAGTGCTTGTATAAATAAATCTTTAAAAAAAAAAACTAAATCTAATTCTAATAAAATGTTCAAGTCTAACTTCCAGTTTACTAGAAATGTACAGATATGCTAGAAAATGTAGGGATTAGCTAAGGGATACCACTGGGAAGCAATCAAACACTGGGATGCTAACAAAACTAGCCCCAGTTTCTCAACAAGTTAACAGTATAAAAAACAGGGAGAGCTGAGGGAATTAAAATGTTCTTGATCAAAAGAAACCAAGAGTCATAATAAACAAATCCAATGACCTTGTGTGGTTTTGATCTGAACAAACCAACTGTAAAAACATGTATGTATTTTAATTCAATTGGGACAGTTGAATGTGAAAGGCAGATTTGATGGTATTAAGGACCATCAAAATTTTAATTTTGTATGTGTACGTATGGATGTGATCATACTTTGTTTATATAAGAACGTGTACTTATTTTCTAGAGTTACACATGTTTGGGAAAGGGTAGACGGGTTTATTATACAATGCTAATTTTGTGTATGTTTAAAACTTTTATGCTAAACAGTTTTGTATTTTATTTCAGGTTAAAAGTATTTCTTTTTTATTTTTAATGAAGTAAATTGGTTTATAACATTATATAGGTTTCAGGTGTACAGTCTTATAAATCACCATCTGTATGTAATACATTACATTCCACACCAAAAGTCTAGCTTCTATCCATCATCCAATTGACCCGATTTACTGGATTTAGCCACTCCAGTGCTCCCTTCCCTCTGGTAACTACTATTTTCTTTTTAAATGCTAAGAGTTTTTGCTTTGTTTTGTTAAGTTCATTGACTCAGTAAACACTGATTTTCTATCATATACCAGCACAGTATAGGGATATAAACATGAAGATAGCATGGCATGATCTGAATATCAAAAGTACTGAGAAAGGTAGGAGCAAAAATATTAACCCCATTTTAGAGATGGGATACAAACCTGAGAATTGGGTTAGATGACATTCTTACAACTTAGTAAGACTCATGAGTTAAGAGAGGCAAGACTAGAACTCTGGTCCTTAAATCCTTTGTGCTGATCTAGTATTCTAAGCTATAGTTTTTCACTCCCAAGATATTATCTCAGCATCATAAATTGTTGCTTTTGACTATGCAGTATTTGTCATATTTCAAATAAGTAAACTGACACATGTAATGATATCCTCTCAGAAAGAACTGGTGAATAGGAAGTAAAAGTACTATCCAGGTAGAGTCCTCGGTTCCACCTTTAACTTATCTTTTACTACTGGGTCTCAATTCCATGGAATACACCTACTAAAACTTTAAGGCTGGAACATCAACTCTCAAATATGGTTCACAGGCCCCAGAGAGTCCCTAAGACTTACAGAGGTTCCACGAGGCTCAATTTATTTTCATAATAATACTAAGATATTACATGCCCACATGTGCACTGATGGCACAAAGCAATGATGAGGAAGACTGCTGGAACCTTAGCATAAATCAAGGCTATATATCTTATATATGGACCAGCAGTACATTGTATGTCTTAGTATCATGCACGTGCAGGAAAATAAAAAGGCCAGTTTCTCTTAAGAACATCTCAGTAAAGTATAATTTTACCAAATCTCAACCCTTGAGTACACTGCCTTTGAATATTTGGCACAATGAAACAAAATGAAACATACTCATGCTAAACAATGAAAACAGAATCTAAAAGAAAAGCACCTATGCAAATTTTTGATTATTTAGACTTGCATATTTTACTATTTTCTCAAAACTGAACAAAGCAAGTTTGACACTTAAAGGACAACAATAACAGTATTTGTTGCCTCTAGTAAAATTACATTTTTTCAATCAAAAATTAAAATGATGGGGCCTCCCCGTTGGCGCAGCGGTTGAGCGCTAGGTTGCGAAGCTGCCCGCGGCCTGGCCTCTGCGGCGCCGGTTCGATCCCTGGCTGCTCCCTGGCCATCGGAGGAGGGTCCCACATGGCGCGCAGACCTCTCCTGCCGCCCGCTGCTCCCCTCAGCAGTGTGCTTCGGTCCGTCTGCCTGCTCTGCTCCCCACTCTGGCTCTGGTGAATTCTCTCACCCTCCCGCACTTCTGACTGTACCCAGTGCTTGTATAAATAAATAATTAATTAATTAATTAATCTTAAAAATATATATAAAAAAAAAATTTAAAAAAAAATTAAAATGATGGAAAACTTGTATCCATCACTGTGCACTTGATAGTTTCCCAGTACTTACTTTTTTGATGAAATCAGGGGTGATGTTAATATTATTTTTTATATTGTTAACTGAAACATCGACATTAAGAAGATGTGCATAATTCAATAGCCATGATGTTACAAAGGCAAGATGTTATGAAATCATGCAGAGGCAAAAAAAAAATTGTGAGCTGAACAGATCGATGGATTTTAAGATGCAGAAAGTTCAATGATATGGGTCAGAATCCAAATCCAACTAAGTAATCTTTCTTTAAGACATTTATTATTTGTCTAGTCTTGGCATAGTGTCAAAGGAAAATATACACAATTATCTGAAAAAGCTATCAAAATATTCCCTTTTCCAACTGTGTAAGTATGAAATGTCTTCAAATACTTAAACAAAAAACAATATATTGCAGCATACGAATGAAAAGTAGGAGAATCCCACTATGTTCTAATATGCCAGATTAAAGAATTTATAAAAATGTGAAATATTCTTCACTAAATTTCTATTTGAAACTATAATCACTTTTCACAAATATATATTTATGTTAACATACATAGGTTTACTGTATAAAATATAAACAGGAAAAAAATATTTAATTTCCAAGTTTTAAGGTCTTAGTAATTATCAACAATATATCCCAACATAAATAAAAGCTCTCTGGAGCCGGTAATAATTAAGAACGTAAAGGGCTCTTGAGACCAATAAGAACCACTGTCCTAGCAGAATCTACCTATTGGCAATCTACCATATCCCCACTATAAGCTAAGCAAAGCTGGGAAATCAATGTTGCCCACTGATCCTGGTGTATTTATCTATTCAGTTTTCTGTCTATATTGACAATCCCTTCACATCTCTCCTTATTTTCAGCAAATGACTAAGCCACTCTCCTTAAGGGGGAGAAAAAGCACTCAAGAAAGCTTCCAAATTTCACCTAACACCAATCTTTACCTGGATCTGCATCAGTCCTTTCTTCATTTCAAGATGGATAAGGAAATGTCTAAAGCCATCCCTTTCTGCTACTTGAGCCCCTTCCAGCTTATTCCAGATCTCAATTCCTCAGCAACTTCTCATAAGCATCTATTTTCCCTTTGGCATCTTCTCAATAATCATTAAATAGGCTCAAGTCTCCCCAACTTTAAAGGAAAAGTTCTTTACTATGGGCTGGGTGACATGCTAAGTGCCATTACAGCAGAACTCCACTAAAATGTTTATCTTTCTCCATTTCCTCACTTCCAATTCTCTTTACAAACCCCCTCCACACACTCCACAAACAAGTGTGGAGCCATTCTTATTCTGTTTAAAAAAATAAATCTCCCAAAGTCATAAATAAAATCCAAGGTACAAATTCAAATGATCTGACTCATCTTGTGTAGTCTTCAATTCAACTGCTAATTCCCTCCTCTTTCAGTCACATTCTTCTGTGGATTGTCAATTTCTTAATTTATTTCCACTAACTGATTTGTTCAGATTTTTTATTTTTTTTGTATTTCTGCATTTTTTGTAGTTCACTTAGAGTTTCTAATG